GCCATCTCCGCTGGGTGTCCAACATCGAAGCTCGTAACCACAGCGCCATGGATTTCTTCAGATCCATCCTGACAGCGCTTCGTTTGTTGAAGCATCTTCACCCCGGTCCCTGCAATCATCATGACTTTGAATGATGTTGAATGAAAATAGTAGGGCATCCCATGGCGTATAATATATATATATATACATATAAATATATTTATACACACATATGTTAAAAAATGTATAAAGAAAAAAATGTATTATATGTAATTAGATATGTATAACTATACACACATATATGCGCTATATAATCTATATGTATGTCCGTTTTATGATTAGTGGCCAGCTTAGCATCATGATACACCATCAACTTTTGGGGAACCATCCTGAAGTATCCACCCCCCTCGTGCCAGTCGAAGAGTTGGTCGAAGGTGGTAGCACAAGATAAGTGGTCCGCATTTGTGTAGTCTCCTTTCGCCAGATTTCGCCAGGCTCCCTACGAGGCTACCATTGGGATGCATGGTTTTGTGCATGGTTTTTGTGTAGTCATCCCAAAGATTCCCAATCTTCTCCGGCTTCACATTCGCCAGTTGGGGCAAACTAACAGACCTCTAAGTCAGTGGTGTGCCTTACAACGAGGAGACCCCAAAAGGAAAAACCCAATGGTTTAGGGGTCCCCCATCAAGAAAAAGCTAAGGATTGACAATGTTGTGGTTTTGAGATACCCTTCAGTAAATTCTTCCCAATGTGAAACACCCTAAATATCTGTAAATTCCCTACTAAACCATTGTTTCTGGTGTTTTATATCAACTAGCAGGAACACATATCATGGAAAACCCGGTTTACAGATCTACTTTGGATATCAAGGTCCCCTTTGGGGACCCTCGACCCCCAAGGGGTGGTCCCAATCTCCTGTCCACAGTGGCGTTTTCTTATTTTTCTCCGTGTCCCATGGCACAAACTCCATGGGTTTGTCCACCCGGGTGTTGGTGATGGGAAAGTCAGCATAGTCAGCCTGACCATCGTCAATCCGAAAAAGAGACGTACCAAGAGATGGTGTCATCAAACATGGCTGCCTAAAAACTCTCGAAAATCAAGGTTTTAGTGGAAAAATCATCGATTCTCAAACTAAATGTGAGGGATGTTCAATTGCCATGTTGGATGACACCGGAGGGTATTTGAGCTGGTTTTTGCTAATATAGTCAGCACTATAGCCGGTGCATGAAAATGGGATATATTTTAGCTTGTTCGGCTCATATTTTCCCCAAGATCGCCATTTCCACTGCACTATAGGACAACCCTCCCAAAACTGCAAGGTCACGGGCGGAGTTTCATCGTCGTTGCGGTGGGCAAAACAGGGTGACTCAAACACAATAACTCCTTCCCCCCTCAATTTTTGAACACCACCCATCAACGATGGTTTAGTAGGGGATTAACATGGATTAACATGGATCGGGTAAATTAAAATAATTCACTAATCTGAAACAAGGCAATTTTGGATGATTTCCCTATAAAAACCATGATTCCAGTGAGGGAGAACAGTGAGGTCGTGATCAGATTTACCCACATGGATTAACACATAGGGATGGTGACCATTTGGGTGTTTCATATTAGGAGGACAAGATCACGGGGATCACGGGCTGTGGGGGTAGCCCGCTTCATGCGGAGCCGCCATACTTCTTATGACAGCATGGTAGTAAGTTTGGCTTATGGTTTTATAAAACCTTACGAGCCATAAGTTTATGTGGGTGGTTTTCTTACTTCATGGGTGGTTTTTCTTATGAAACCTTTATGCCATAAAACCACCCATATAAATTGGATGATGTCAAATGTTTCCATCGAATCCCAGCCATGAAAAATGAATAAAAATGGTCAACTTGGGGATGATGCTATTGCTTTGCTCACATCATTCTGATTTATTATGATTCTTGTTGCTTTTCATTGACATCTTCGGGATATGTAACCAAGATTAACTAAGTAATAGCTCAACTAGCCTCTGATCTCTCCCAAATCACTATGTTGGGGATAACCCTCCACTGGTTATCTAACACTTTCCTATATCATCCACCATCTGGTAAACTCACCGTTTGCTATGGAAGCCATGGCCCATAGAAATAGATGGTGTATCGGTTTACCTATTAAAAATGGTGATTTTCCACAGTTTTTTGTAAACGTTTACCAGAGGGTATATCTATATCGGAAATGGGTCGATTGGGTCGATGTCAAGAGCATCCAACTCTGCCCCATGAAATCTTCATCTTTTGAACCCCATTTGTTCCGTTCCCGTGGCCCGTGGCACCTGGACATCGCTCAAGACTAGACAGGGTAGGACCTTCGGTCGGGCTGAACTAGGACGATGTGACGATTTCAGGATGAGGAGCTAGTTGAACTGGTGAGTACATACACAAAACCGCTGACTTCATGAAGGAATTCATGAAAATCTTAGGCAATGGTAGACCATATGGAATCCATCATCCCCAATGACTTACCGTTTCTATGGGGATTGAAACCATCAATTTATATGGGTTTATGACATAGCTATGCGGCTATACTAACATTATTCAAGATTAAAGAATGACCCTTATTGACCCTTGACATTTTGAGAATGGCGGATGGTTTTGAATTTTTGAATGCAAAAAAACAACATAATCTTGCCCCAAGACTTTACCCTCTGGTAAACATACAAAAAACTATGGAAAATCACCATTTTTCATGGGAAAATCCACTATTTCTATGGTCATTTTCAATAGCTATTTTGACATAACCAGAGGGTAATGGGAGATGCACTCAGATCCAAGGAGAACTAGAGATTCTTCAAATGGTGTCTGAAAATGGAGGATTCGACCAATTTGACCAGAAAATCACATCAAATCAGCCGCAAGGCCCCCGGTGCCGTTGCTGGGACCCCAGACATGGCGCAATTTCATGGTGTCATGACATGGTGAAATGGTGACGTCGACGATGCTGTGGTGCCACTGATGTGAATTTGTTGCGGGCGACGTTGATGACAATTGGTATTGGTATTGGTTCAACCATAATGGCAACTCAGAATCTGATGGAAAAGATCCTGGTTGCCAACTTAAGTAATGGTGGATGACTTTTGGATCGTTTGTTTTTTTTTGGAACGGCCAATCCCAAATGCCCAGCGTGCCGTTAAGGCTGTTAAGGTTTGCGGCTATGGGACCATGGTGGACCCCATGGAGGCGAGGATTGGATGGCTGGCTGTTTACAAAATACGGACTTGGGGTCTCCGTTCCTCCATAAATTCGAGATTCTCATGATATTTTAACGTGACATAAGGCATAATATCTTGGGATAATTCCCCTCACTAAGCATCATCCTAAATTGATGATCTTCTGCCTCTTCCAAGTGCAAGTCTCAACCTGTCTTCACATGAGCCGCATCTTCCGCGAAATCTGCAACGGATTGATGTTCCGGAAATTTCATGGTTTTTCCCCTGTTTTTTCCCAGCAAAACGTAGGGTGTCTCAGGCAGATTCCCCAATCCCTTCGTCCGCTTCTGGGAGGAAACATGTCCCACACTGCAAATGCTACGTGGGGAAGCGGTTCCAGTAAGTTCTTACACAATCTAAATATGTTTAAATTGTCAATTCCAACTCTTGGAAGTTAAAAAAAAAACATGTTTTTTTCCATCAAAAAAAAACACAACAGATCACAGCAGTCCTGGCCATTTTCAATAGCAAACTGTTAGTTTACCAGAGGGTACCAACTGGTGCAGGATTTCGCTACCCCATCCACTGAACCAACAAACATTTCACTCAAAAAGCGGCCAAAAACCTTGCACCACACTGCAGGAAACCTGTGCAGCGATTTTTTTCAGCTTCCACTGCTAAGGCGCCAGCAGGCTCCAAAGATGTGGGGGCCATCTAGTTCACTAGCAGTCACTAGCATATAGCAACCCCCAAAAAGATGCCATACCGTCCGGACAGCTGGTATTTCTGTGGGGAAAAACATCATCACTCATCGAACTACCATGTTAGAAACATATATTTCTATCTTTTTTGGGGGTTGATATAGTCTAATCTAAGAGAGGTCACTGAGAAAATCGGCACTCGGCCACCAGCACTTGAACCACCAGACGGCATCCGGGTTTTTCTCAGAGACCCCGGGAATCCGAGAAGTTCGCCGAACGCACCAACTTCAGCATGAAATTCGATAATTCTTGACCAAAAAAATATAAAATCCTGATGAACATGGAAGATTCAGATTCTTGGACTTATTCAGAGAGCCTGAATGTGATCAAAGAATGTGCAAATGTGTGCCAATGTCCATGCAGAACTTGAGAACCAGTCATCATTTTTTCAATCGTGTCCCCAGGTTCCGGGTATCTAATCTGTAGCTTTGAACTGAGAAGCACCCACATTTTGTCTTCAAGGGACGCAGCTCCGTCCCTGTTTAACTGCATTGCTTTTACTATCACACATGCCAAACAAGGAAACTCTATCTAATATAATATATACTATAATGCGGGTAAAACAATAATAGACCACCCATTTGGGAATGGTTTATACCACCTATAAAAATGGTGATGACTGGGGGATGGTTTAGGTTTATGATATCATTTTGCCCACATTCACAGAATCTATACATTCAGAGTGTAGCTGCAGGATGGGGCCCCCAATTAGTTGGTTTATAAACCATTATACCCCCCATGAAAACTAGTTCGTTATACCATAAACCCAATCGAACTCAGCCACTTTCTTTTACGCAACTTAATTAGCTATCTCCCAGGGTTTCTCCATGATTTGGGGGGATATCTAACATATACTAATATATATACATATACTATATTAAATAGTCACTAATACTACACTATACATATAATACTACACTATAATACTACTCAGATACTAATATATACATACCATATAATATATATATATATATATTATATATACTATAATAAATAGTCTGTAGCTCCTGCGGTTTCCCCATGTTTTTGGGACTCCAAACCATCACAGCTTCACAGCTCGAAAAGGGTGCGACGTCCCTTAGGGATCAGCGACTCTCGACTCGCTTCCGCGCCTGTTCGGCTTTCAGATCCAGGGCCTGAAACACAGCGTTCACCACCAGAAACAGATGAAAAAAAGGTGGGAAACCAACATTTAGAGCAATCCCACCAAACAAAAACAAAAAGATAGTTGGAAATGCAATGTATCACTATTATTTTAGTAGGATGCTATTAACTGTTCTGTCTATTTGGGGATGACTAAAAGCATAAGCCTTGGAAGTTTCTGTATTGTCGATGTTTTTTGCAACCTTCCCCCCCAAACAAATAGACAACTCGGCTTCGGAGGCTGATTGAGGCCACGAGGCACCAGCTTTTGGAGTTCGCTTTAAGCCCTCTGAGCCTCTCCGTGTTTACTGTTCAATTTCTTTTTTGATTTCATCCACATCAGTAAACCTCCAAAGGTTTTAAGCCCCCGATTTTGTTCAAGCTCCCATGGTAAATGTAAGGGATGCAATCAGATATTTTGGACCATTTTTCATGGGACTGTTTCATTTGAGATCGGATGAATGGCAAAGCAATAATAAACCACGCACATGATTCTGATTGTTTATACAGGTTTATACCTCCTATTTTTGGTAAACTTGGGATGGTGTACTATTGCTTTACTAGCACTATATTGAATTATCCACTGAACATGTTTTTTCTCTTGCCCCAACATCTTCCCAGGTTCAAGGTATCCAAATCCACCCACTACTCATCACCACTCTGTCCGCCTTTTCCAACATGGGTACCGTAAGTTCGGTCTTGTAGCCTGATCTCACCATCTGTTCCACCAAAGGCCTCGCCGCGAGCAGAGCGAGTGCCCGCGAGAGCGAATGCGCCCGAGGTATGCCAGGGTGCTGGGTCAATCAAAAAATTCCACGAGATTCCCCACTTCTGGTGGATTTCCCATGAGAAAAAGCTAGAAAATCACCGACTAAGACTACATCCAAGTGAATCATTTCAGGTGAGGTTGACCGTTCAACATTGGAAACCACCCACCATTTCCAAGCATCACTGGATACCTTCGGCCTAAACTGATTGCTCCGAGCAATTTCCCTCAACAGTGATAACTGATTATAGCTCGCATCCACCCAAGTTATGGCAATTGTTCCCCTACAGTACTTAATGATATTGGAATATAAATAGGTATAGCCTTGTATAGCATATAAATATAATATAATATGACTGAACTGGCTCAATTCCAGCCTTAACTGAGTTCTAACTCGAATTGTGCCAAGTTATGCTCGTTGCAACTTTTTCCTCTATAGTTATTTGTTGGGATATCTATAACTCTGCTGCTCCCAGCTTTGCTCCTTGAGCCGCCAGGGGCATCCTTGGGTCAGGGACCTATTGAGCAGCAGGTCTTGTTCCAAATTTCCCGGCCGTCGCAACTTTTTCATGCCTCAACAAACTGCAGTGGAGGTAACACGGAGTGAATACGGAGTGACCGGAGCAAACAGAACATGATTCCATGATATTCCATGCAAAAGGGGAAAAAACAAAACGTTTCTTAAATGGATAAATCATGATAGGTCCATATAGATCCAATACTACATTCCACCAAGGCTTTGAATAGATGTCCTATTATGTTCTATTGGTTTAGGACTTCAATCGGATATGATGAAAAATCACTGGGGCCCCGTTTGGGTTCGTCAAACTTTGGGGCTGATCGGATGATCCCCGGGTGATATCCACCCTTTTTTTGGGGGTACCCAAAAAAGTGATTTCACATCATCGGAAATCACCAGGTTTAACAAGTCAATGGCCATTTCAGGAACCGATTGATTGGAGGTACCTACCATATATAAGGCCTAGTTGAAGGCCTATGTAAGGGAATATCCCCACAAAATATGGTCAAAAATATGGTACAGTACCTCCATTTTAGGATCCTGAAATTCCCATTGAACAAGTAAGTCATCAGTCATCTAAAAATAAGCCATGTTCCATCGCATTTTTTACCAGAAGAGAATCTTCGTGGATCACTGAGGTACCCCAACCTGTGGTTTTCATCATGTCTGCGAAGAGTTGCTTGTCCAGCTCCTCAAACTGAATGATCAAAGGTACTGACTTTAAAATGTCTTTCTTCGAGTGATCCCCACCAACTGAAATTCTATCTGACATATCTATTCTCACATCCGATCTGGCATATAGTCTGACATTCTATCTGGCATTCGATCTAACATCTCTTCTGACATTCTATCTGACATCTTGCACTCGCAATTGAGGTCCCGCAGTGCCCACTGAGATCTGGCGCTCGCGGTTGACACTGATATTTTCCATCAGTATATCATCATATTGACACTGATTATGATGTTTACAATAATCATCTTCAAAGCCAGCATATGTTTGGAACATATTTGGTGATGGGTCAAAACCCTGGTACTTTAGCTACCCATCCTGATGTGGTTTCTATATATGCCTTATCAACCACTTACTCTACCAGGTGGTGATAAAATGTTATAAACCCCATCCCTAGATGATTTGATATTCCATTGGAATTGTGGCTACCTGGTATTTTTCCGACAAACGGCTTAAACAGATGATAAAAAGCCCATGATTCAACTTCCATCCGTCGCCAAGTTCACTCCTTCCGCGCTTCTCGCTTCAGCATCTGCTTCTTGGCTTCCTCAGCTTCGGCTGTCTCTCTGCTCTGACGCCAAACCTCCGCCTAGAGAGCTTGGGCCGTGGCGTGAAAGTGGTGATTTTCATGGGAAACATGGATTTCATCAAGAATGGTGGGAATATCATGGGAATATCATGGGAATATCATGGGAATGTGAATTCTGATTGTATGCCCAACTGTTTATATTTCTAATGCTTTTCATCTGATCCGTTCATGTGAAGACTCTGCGACTCGACAAACTCTCGTTGATCTCGTGGAAATATCACGTGACAAATCGCGAGGCATGGATGAAAAGTTTCTGGAAGCATTGTTTGCCCAGCTTGGGGGGCCACATATAACTCCAATTTCACGATGTTCAATGAATCTTTATGATACTTCTAACTTATAACAATCCTTTTTGTATGCATGGGGATAGTAAACCAACATGTAGCTGGGGTGTTACATGATAATTCAATGATCCACTTCTCGGATGTGCTTCTCAAGCTGAGATTCAACTGGATGTTTCAGTTGAACATTTAAGGGAACATCTCTTGCTCAAATTTTACAGATCTCAGATCTTCCCTCGTCCCGATTCGCATATACACGGCGATCATCATTGGAGAATTACCGTGCTCTTAGGCTCTTACACCCAATTCCTTCTTGGTGGCTCATCCCACTTAGTAAGTGGGTTATAACCCCAGTTATAAATGGGATAAGTAGGGTTAATCCATTTTAATCCACTTATAACTGGGGTTATAACCCACTTACTAAGTGGGATGAGCCACCAAGTTTGCAGTTTGCCGAACATCTTTGGCCCAGTGCCCTACTTCTCTGGGACAGCTGGCGGCATCAAACACCAGGACGCTGGGGCTGGAAAAAGGGGCCGGGCCTGCCATTGATCTGCAGCCTTTTCATCGGCGCCCTGGAAGCGGAAAAACCGCAGAACTGGAGACGACTTGTTGGAGGAAGTACCCGGCCTGGTAAACGTTTACAGTTTGCTATTGAAGCCATGGCCATTTAATTCTAGTTGATTTACCCATTAAAAGTGGTGAAAAATTGTGATTTACCCATGAAAAATTGATTTACCCATGAATAGCATGGTGATGTTCCATAGTTATGTAAACGTTTACCAGAGGGTAATTTCTGGAACATGAACTAAAATCCGCACCATGAATCATTGAACCATGTTGGGACTTCAAGAGACCCATGTCAAAAGATGCTTAATAATGCTTAAGTCATCATTGTCATCTTGTCATCTTGGCAAAAATGAACTGATCATAGTCAGAACATGATTGCCTTCTGGTTATTTAATATAGTTATTGTAAACCACAATTTTTAATGGGTAAATCATCATAAATCATCTATAAATCATCATAAACCATCACAAATCATCCAACAATATTCTATAAATGGGTCGTTTCCCACAGCAGACTTTTATTTTATAGGGTGTAAGGTTCAGGAGCGCACTGCCGTCTTCGACATCTTCGATGGGTCGGTTCCATGGGCTTTAAGGCTGGGAAATCCCTTCGTTACATGATGGTTCCATGATGTTTGGATGAATTTCCCGGCTCTAAACCACTCATATTCCATGGAATATATGGTTAATATATGGTTATTTTATGGTTAATGATGGTTAATAATAATATTCTGGTTGGTGGTTTTGAGCCTGTCCCTCCGAAAAATGATGGAGTTCGTCAGTTGGGATGATGACATTCCCAATATGACGGGAAAAATAAAAAATGTTCCAAACCACCAACCAGCCATTGTAGTCCCATTATTCTAATAATTTATAGTACTATTACTATAGTAAATAGTCCCATTATAGTTTATAGATGTTTATAGTCCCATTATAGTTCCATTATTCATGTTCCATAGTCCCATCAGTCCCATTATTTCAATGGCCACTTCAGGAACCGATTGATTGGAGGTACCTACCATATATAAGGCCTAGTTGAAGGCCTAAATTTCGGGGAATATCCCCACAATTCATATGATTTAGGATCCTGAAGATTTCCCATTGATTTGGAGAAATTTCCCAGCTCTAAACCGATCATACCCTCTGGTAAACTGTCCCATAACTATGGAAAAAACACAATTTTTAATAGGTAAATCAATGTAAATCAATGTAAATCAACGAACTACAGGCCAACTTCAATAGCCATGTTAGTTTACCTGAGGGTATTCCACGGTTTTTCATAGGGATTTGATCCAGATTTCCCATGTTTGATGACACAAAACTGACGGCGACCTGGGATCTGAGTCCTCCATGGATTAATCTTCCCGGTAGGTGCCAAGCATCAATGGTTTTGGGATGTTCTTGGCAGAAAAAATCTAGGGAGTTCCTGGTTTCTGATGGTTTCTGAAGATATAAATACTCCAATCCCCGAGTTGAAATGTGCGAAAAATATTTTGCTGTTTGAAATGTTCGAAATCCTCCATATTTTCGGTGGTTAACCCTTAGAAATCCCAGAAGAATCCTATTTTACCCTCTGGTAAACTGTCCCATAACTATGGAACATCACCATTTTTCATGGGTAAATCCACGAACTAAATGGTTATTTTCAATACCCTCTAGTAATTTAACATAGCTATTGAAAATGGCCATTGAAATAGTGAGTTTTCCCATTAAAAATGGTGATTTTCCATAGCTATTTGTATGTTTACCAGGCCGGGTAATACCAGAATTCTGCCATTTTTCGCGCTGCAGCACGCGCCGGCCTTGTTGTTTCCTTCCTGGATTTTCTTGCGGAATCCCTCGGCCCTGGCAGGAGATATCTCAATGACTAGCTGATGCTTGAGCTGCCCTTCAAAAAAATGGGTACCATCTGGTTATGACTAACAAAAAGCCATAGAAAATCACAATTTTTTATAGGTAAACCCAGGTAAACCATCTATTTCTATGGGACATCTATACCATGGCTATGTTAGTCATAGCCAGAGGGTAAATCAGAGCCAAAAATGGGGCAGCTCTATGGATAAAGTAGACTAGTAGACCTTATCTTGTTCTATGGATATAGACAGAAGACACCTCCCAGCCAATCCATCTGGGTAAATTCCAATATTTCACCAGCCTGAAATAAGGCCACCAACTTGTCTTAGCGGCTTAGCGGACCCGGACATACCCGGCCCCCGCATGATGCCAAGGCCTAAGACCTGAAATATTCCAGTGAGGTCCCGACGTGAGACGTGAGGTTATGAAAAATATGCTTGAGTCATTGGGTATCCCAAAATAAAGTCCATCAAAAACGAAAAGAACATCTTTGAAACCACCAATCAAAATAATCAAATACACAATATCCGTTTAAAAAAAATGACGAGGAAAAACATGTTCGAAACCAGTAATCAGATCCAATCACATGAACATGGTGGTACTTGCATCTGCATAGGGGTATCCTTCAGATCCAACTGCTCTGTCCGCGTAAGTTTGCCGCGGCCACATTTCACGCGTCCGCCGGGTTCGCTGGTCTTGCCTGACGGTGAAAAACATCGCCGGTTTTGAAGCAATGGTTCCATGTGTGACATTGGTCCATCCTACTCTTTACCCTCTGGTAAACTGTCCCATAACTATGGAAAATCACAACTATTCACAACTTTTAATGGCTAAATCAACTATAATTAAATGGCCATGGCTTCAATAGCTAACTGTAAACGTTTACCAGAGTGTAAATAGATAGAAAACAGTTAGAAATCCCCATTACCTGCAGGTTCCATATAATGGGAATCCTTGAAAGTTTGAGGGATTTTCCAGCCCATGGCATCGTTTTTTCTTGGTGATCCATGTTGATTGATCCTGCTCAGGATGTTTCGTAACCGAAACACGAAGAACTCGACAAAAAAAACAAAGCTCCATGATTTTATAGTTCAAATGATGCTCGGACACCTTTGTTTTTCCAAAAATGCCCTCCAGTCAACTATCATAGCTACGGAAAATCACCATTTTTATGAGTAAAAGCGCTAGAATGTTGGTTCCACTCTATTGACTGTTCATCCATCTTCGAGATTCAGAAAACTGCTGTTTTTTTGGTTCCCAGAGATTGGTTCCCAAGTCCACCTCGCAAAAAGCTCCTCAAGTCGTTTCTTTTCGTAGGCCCTGAACTGGATGAGCGAAACTGGGATCTGGGACGGTCCTGATGACTTTTCGCCGGGAAAGTCATCAAATCATATGGTGTTTGCTTGTAAAGTTCCTTCCACGGACCGACACCCCAAATGGACCATAGCAGAATATGTATGAAACTGTTCAACTCTTGGTAAAAATGACTTCATCGAAATGGAAAATCCTGGAAATACCTTTCTCTCCATCTGGGGGTTGCTTGATATAATTATCTAATATTTACCCTATGGATCCCTATGGTAGGTTAAGATAGACCCTGAATATAGCCAATTTTGAGTGGACACTTATCTTCCAACCCCTATCTGGCAGGGTCTATGTTAATTCACTAGAGGGTATTTCTGATAGCTAACTCAACGAACTAAATGGCCATGGCTTCAATAGCAAACTGTTAAATTACCAGAGGGTCAGTACCACATATTCATATATTATCATATATTTGTTAATTGAGCATCTCCCAATTATCATGAATATATGGATACTTATCCTATATCATTGGTTAATTCTTGCTTATCATGAATTGGATATATATAACTTATATAACCAATATATCATATATTTATCCAATGATCTCCTGGTTTTTGGTGGGCCCAAATTACGATTCCATGGAAAAACTGATGCTCTCCCAGTTGATGGGATGATCTGTATGGATCTGTTGATCTTCGCCATATAAGCAATATTGGTTTGTCATAGCACAGCACAACATAGTACAATTAAAATATATTAAAAGTCATGTATTGGCTGTATTGGCTAATCAAAGCCCATACGTTATGTTGGTGAGCACAAATTTGGTTTAGCAGCCACTGTCTCTATGAGTGACCATTTCCGACAGAATCACAGCAAGATAAAGACATCTCATCACATCTCTATGAGTGACCGAAAGCAGCCGCGAAACGCATCTCCTTGTCAATGGCCTGGCATTTGAAAATGCTTGCTATAGAAAATGGATGAACATGGACCAGATTTATATCATTACGATATCATTTATAGTTGATCTACCTCATTAAGATGGTGATTTATATCATTTATTGTTGGTTTACCTTGTATAAATGGTGATTCTCCATAGCTTTTTTTAAACGTTTACCAAAGGGAACACCTGCCTGCAATCCCGTTCGACGCGTTGCTCCTCGGCAGCGTCCTGCAACAACAACAACAACAACAACAACACACTATTAATGCATTAATACTTCAATGCATCCTTATATAGCTATCTATAACTGATAGAACCATAATTAATATAAACATTGTGTTAGTAACTCAGGTAATTCAACATAGCTATTGAAAATTGCCCATTTATAATTGATCTACCTATTAAAGATGGTGATCTTCCATAGCAAACTGTTAGTTTACCAGAGGGTAACATTATTGAAGATCAGATCAATTCATCTCTGCATGCTGGATTCAACCCATAAATTGAGCGTGACACAATGCCATCATGCTTCAACATGGCATTAGACATACCCAGCCACATCGTATTTCTCCTGGTCTTCCTAATATGGCACCCTCTGGTAAACAAACATAGCTATTGAAAATGGCCATTTGCAGTGAATTCTCCCCTTGAAAATGGTGATTTTCCATAGTCATCTTGGTTTACCAGAGGGTAAACCCAGTTGAAAAAACCATCCCCGATAATTCATCCATTTCTGTGTGGTATAAACCTCATAAACCCTTCCAAAATTAAGGTTTAGCATTGGGTAAGCCCACATGATCACATTATCTCACATTAATGAAATTATCACATTGGGTTTACCTCATAATACGGTAATATCATTGGGTATTTGCTAACATGTTACCATATTAATTGCCATAAGCATTGGGTTTACCTCATAATATCATCATACTTGGTGGCTCATCCCACTTAGTAAGTGGGTTATAACCCCAGTTATAAGTGGATTCACCCTACTTATCCCATTTATAACTGGGGTTATAACCCACTTACGAAGTGGGATGAGCCACCAAGTACACTATCCTTATTTTTGCATTCTTCACTTTCCACCCCACGGAGGTCGTCTTTCAGTTTTCCGGTCGAGACTGGCTCTGTCTGAATCCTTGGCTGTTAGTTGACACACCTTTTTTCGGCAAGCACTTCATCAGATTCCAGCATTTGAACCATATCTTATAGAGAAATTAGAAATCGACAATTACCTTCATTCAATTTAGCATAGCTATTGAAAATGGCCATTTAGTTCGTTGATTTACCCATTAAGCATGGTGATTTTCCATAGTTATGTAAACGTTTACCAGAGGGTAGGCAGGAATCCCAGCTTTTGGAGCTATCCTGAAAGCGAAAAACATGGAATTTGGCCCCAAAAAGAGATGTCAATGTATAGTGATTAATGGTGATTAATGGTGGTGATTAATGGCTAATAGTGAATTAATGGTTAAATAATGGTTAATATATAATGATTATCTGGTTGGTGGTTTTTCGCCACCCCTCTGAAAAATGATGGAGTGAAAGTCAGTTGGGATGATGACATTCTCAACTGAATGGAAAAATAAAAGCCATGTTCCAAACCACCAATCAGATAGTGTATATAGATATGTATCCTCTGGTAAACTAACAGTTTGCTATAAAAAATCACCATTTCGAATAGGTAAATTAACGAACTAAATGGGGTATGTTCAATAGCAAACTGTTAAATTACCGGAGGGTATAGGGGTTATCATCATCCCATGATGGGCTATCCCTAGAAATCAAGATCCACAGCCACTGAAGCCTTCTGAAGTGCTGCCCTGGTCGCTGTGGATCAGACTTCCAGGTCTTTTCCAAGCGGCGGTCGCTGCGTCTCTCTCAAGATTCTGCTGAACCAAGCTGGGACTATGCTGAGTTTCTCACAGAAAACATCTCCAAAACATGAAATTCCACCCAAACACTCAATCCTCAACTGCCACAAACAATCAAAAATCAAACATGTTAACAAATAATTTCCACCCCACATTCACATAATACCCTGAAAACGACGATCTACTTTCGAGAAGAAGGTAGTCTTCCAACATTTCCAAGCCCAAACAATGGCAGGGTCTATGTTAGTATAAATCACCTGGTTCCGCATCTTTTCCCGATTTTTTACAGATGGGGCCGACCCCAAAACCTCTAAACGCTCTCTTCGTCATCTTCGTCATCTGCGACGTCGATCGCGGGAATCGTCCCGACCCCCCCGCCTGACGTTGATGAACCATGGGATTATCGTGGGCTATATTTGTGGGTAAATCATGGTAAACCTACAAAAAACTATGGAAAATCACCATTTTTCATGGGAAAATCCACTATTTCAATGGCCATTTTCAATAGCTATGTTAGTTCACCAGTGGGTAAATCATCATCATTCACTCACCTATGAAATATCTGGGCATATCTGGGCAGCCACTCACCGGAAACAAAGGTATTCCAATGAGGTCACGACTTGAGGTCACTTTTTTTTTCAGCCAGATATCTGCTGCCAATTATCAATTGGGATTTCACATGGAAATATGTCATGAAGCATGGGGAAATCGTCTAATTCTGGGGATATACCATCCCTCATCAAACATGACACTTAAAATTCCCCAAAATGGTCTGCTTGGTGGTTTTTCGCCACCCCTCTAAAAAAAAAATAGTCAATTGGGATTACTATTCCCAATAGATGGGATGATTATTCCCAAATATGATGGAAAATAAAATTCATGTTCCAAACCGCCAACCAGCCAATGTAGTCCCATTATTCTAATAATTCATAGTACTTTTGCTATAGTAAATAGTCCCATTATAGTTTATAGTCCCATTATAGCTTTACAGCTGGGAAACTAACCGAACTGGGATCCATTGCTATGTTGGGATTTACCCCAGGGACCCAAGGTCAGGTCTCCACAGATGCCAAAAGATGTCGGCTTCCAGGGCAGTGAAATGATGTGTTCCCCCATAGCCTCTGGTCAACGTTTACAAAAAAAAACCATGGAAAATCACAAGTTTTAATGGGAAAACTCGTTATACATGGGCCATTTTCAATAGCAAACTGTTAAATTACCAGAGGGATAATTTTCAACATGTCCAACTTTTCGAAGTCTTTTTGAGTGTTGCTGCACATGATTTTTAGCTGCTGATCATTCAATATACTGTGGCAAACCCAATGCAAAACCTCTCATTTGGGGGAATGTGTATTTTTAACCACCCATGTCTGACAACATTGGGCATGCTTTATGGTTTATCACCATGAAATGATTGGAGTTGTTAATCATCGTTCTAACTATAGATACCCTCTGGTACACTGTTATCGCTATGGAAAATGGCCCATTTACAGTTGATTTGCCTATTCAAAGTGGTGATCTTCAATAGTCATGTTAGTTTACCAGAGGGTAGTTGTTGTTTATAAAAATCTCATAGTTGTCTGTTTTTGAAATAATAGTCACAAAACATCGCTGTGAATGAATATCCCAAACGCAGTTGCTAAAAGTCAGCTGGGAGAAACACTGTGTATGTCATATTCTACATAACCCCCATCCATTAAGGGCCCATCCATTACCCTCTGGTAAACTAACATAGCCGCTATGGAAAATCACTATTTTTAATGGGTAAATCCACTATTTCAATGGCAATTTTCAATAGCTTTTTGTTAGTTTACCAGAGGGTAGGGGTTATTTTTTGGACTAACAACCACCTGGAAAACCTCCAGATGAGTCCAGGCCTGCCACCGCCGCCGCCCGAGTTCCCGTTCTTCAGGACGATGTTTTTGGCTGCGGCTTTCCCCTTGGTCTCATCCAGCACTGCCTCGTAGGTACACTCATCCCCGATAGCCAGGGCATCAAAACTACCTCGGTAGCGATGGTTTTCAGGTGAAGTGCGGCACATTTTTTTGTGCTCGAAGTCAAGGTGAAACAACAACAAGAGCAAGAACAAGAGCAACACCTAGAGCAACATCTACAGCAACAGCAACACGACTAGGTTAAGGCAAATATGATAAATATGTGAAAGAAATCGTAGCTCAGGGATGCCCATGGATTCTGACAGTCATTGAAAATCCATGATATGGTGATGTTGCTAACAATGGCAAAACAAACGTAATGGTGGCAGTACAAATACATTCTTTCTACAAGCCAAGCTCTGTCTCCAAGCAGCCCGTGCTTGTCATATGTTACCATCATATGTTACCCTCTGGTAAACTAACAGTTTGCGATTGAAAATGGTGATTTAGTTCGTTGATTTACCCATTAATAGCATGGTGGATCTTTCCATAGTTTTTTGTAACAAATTACCAGAGGGTACCATCAATGGGAAGGATGACAGCCCATATATGAAATGGAAAATAATTACAGTAATCCAGTCATGTTTGAAACCATCCAGCTGCTGTTACCATCATATGTTACCATCCACTTAACTATGGAAAATCACCATTTATAATAGGTAAATCAACTAAGACTATAAATGATCCATTTTCAAGTTCGCAAACTGTAACAGTCATTACCAGAGGGTACCATCCACCCAGCTGCTGTTCTTGAGAGCAGATTTGTGGAAGAAGAGGTCTTTGTCATCCACCTTCCCCGAGTGAGGCCGAATGAAGCCGATACCCGCAGGCTTCAGCTCCTACGACGACCGACACGACCAGTCCACGATGGGAGATGTGAAATTTGAACTCCATGACCCGGCCTGGTAAACCTACCCTCTGGTAATTTAACATAGCTATTGAACATGGCAACTTATAGTGAATTTTCCCATTAAAAATTGTGATTTTCCATAGTTATGTTAGTTTACCAGAGGGTACAAAAAAAAGATGGAAAATCATCATTTTTGATGGGTAAATCAACGAACTAAATCACCATTTTATCAAATATTCTCTGGGAGATTTGGAAGAAAATGATGGTTTGATATCCATGAAAATATCCATGAAAATATCCATGAAAATATCCATTAATCATGTTTAATGATGGTTGACAATGGTTGATAATGGCTGATTGTTTGGGACGAATATGACTTACCCTCTGGTAATGACTGTTACAGTTTGCGAACTTGAAAATGGATCATGAAAACAATTGATTTACCTATTACAAATGGTGATGTTCATTGATTTTCCAGTTCGCAAACTGTTAGTTTACCAATGGGTTTTCTGGTGGCATTTCTGTTGGCTCAAGCCAGGCATCATTTTGGGTGATTAGATCCCATCGGCTGCGAGAAAACGCAGCAAACCTGAGCCCTTGCAGACCCTCCATATCCATGTTTTGTCGCTTCATGTTAGAAATGGTTTAGATGTTTATTTAAGATGCAGAGTTTGGATTCAAGTGTTTAGATGTTTAGATATTGACGTGTTTGGATTCAAATGTTTAGATGCTTAGATATTGACGTGTTTGGATGTAAGATACCAGTTCCGGTCTACAAATCAGCCATTACATTCATGAGCTAGGAAAGCAGAACCTTGAAATCCGGAAAAAAAACATCTCATTTGATCTTAATTCGCATTATTTTAAGTCCTGGTTTCTGTCTTGTTTTTTTTGGCTCTGACACACTTGACCTGCCCCCAATCGAAGCCTGGATGATGCCTATGGTGCCCCATTCGGGCAGGGGCTTGCCAAGCTTTTCGTCCGCCTGAGTTGAGGAGGGGCTTGGATTAGTTGGGACTACCCCAAAGATGGGATAAGATGGGATATAATATAGATTTATAATTTATAATAATATATATATATATAATATATATAATAGTGGGATAGTGGGAAATGTGATATATGACTTAACCAACTAATATGATTTTGGATGATTTTGGGATATTGTTGTGCATGTCCAGAAATGAGGGTCGGACTAACGCTCCAATTCTGGCCACATTCTTTGGGAAAATGATGATCAACCAGTGAATGGAATCTCTCTCTCTCTCTCTCGCACCAGTAGATGGAACGTGGTATCCTATTTTCTGCCAAACCCACTTGCACAACTTACTCTTTTTGGATGCAGGGTGTGAGTTTTTCTCCCATGATCAAAAACTGTGGTTCTGGAGTATGTCGGCAAGTTGTATCCCCTTTTTTTACTAAGGAACATGTCTATTTTGATTCTCTTTATCAGTGAGCTTGGTTCAAAATCTCTTTGCAAACAAAGAAGCAAAAAAGTACCATCCCCCTAAGATTCATACCCCCTCAAGAAGCCGTGTGGTTCTTGTATTGGATCTGTTGATTTTATTGTCCAAAAAATGAAGTTGTTAAATTTGACATACTATAGGGAAAGGGAGTGGCACGGACGCCAACATCCCAGGATATCCCAGGTATTATCACCAACATCCACAGCATGGCCGTTATAACACCAATGCTCAACCATAAATAGTAAGTGGGTTATAACGGCCATACCTGTTGCCATGTGAGCCTACTCATCACTGGGGTTAGAGTTAACTCACAATTCCTGGGAGCCAAGTAGTCCAAGAATAACCATCAATTAAAAGTGTGTAAATGGGCAATGCATCATCAACAGGAACCATCAATTAACAGTTTGTATAACCATCAATCACCATTAATCAACCATTTTCATAGGTAAATCATCTATAAATCATTAATCAACCATTTTTCATAGGTATTTTTGTTTATAAATTGGCAGTTTATCATACATATACCCACACGATATCCCCATTGTACTACCATTTTTGTTGGTTAAGTCGCCAATTTTCAAAGGTGGCCATTGACCCTCTTGAAGAGTTGGACGTAGCCTATATATGGATATTCATATCTGATATATAAGATATATATATACACCCTCCGGTAAACGTTTACAGTTTGCCAAGTGGAAAATCACCATCTAACTAATAGGTAAATCAACGAATCAGATTTTTTTTAGCTAGGTAAATCATTGGGGGTTTCCCTGGTGGTATTATGGGGATATCTGATGATTTTTTTACCATTTAAGAATCCCCATAATAATGATCACCAATATATTTGATAACATATTTTTACCATTGACCATTATTTTGATATGATTTTGATTTTTCTTAATGATCAATGGCCCATTTATTGATGATTTGCCAATCTAAACAACTAGATGATACCCAGAAAATGAACCGTTCAACCCTGCCAGATAGGTTGCCAGATGAGCTTCCACTCAAGGTCCAACTGTCAACCGGTTAATTTACCAGAGGGTATATCCAAAAGGTTTCTTAAACTAGGGGTACCATGATTTTCATCTTTTTAAGAGGATTTCCCATGATGAACCTTCGATTGGGGTACCACCATTTTATGAAACCATCATGCAACCGTTATTATCACTATAATAAGCATATAATGTTCATAATGATATCCATGTAGGATTCAAATTTAAGAGGGTTTGAATTATGAACCATTAGGAAAGATTGCCGAAAGATTGAACTATATCCATATATGGTTCATAATAATGCAAATCCTCTGAAAAACATATCCATATATGGGTATTCATATCTGATATATAAGATATAGATATATATATATATACCCTCCGGTAAACTAACATAGCAATGGAAAATCACCATCTAACTAATAGGTAAATCAACGAACTCAATGGGCCATGGCTTCAATAGCAAACTGTTAAATTACCAGAAGGTAATCTTTTGGTATAATGTGGTTAAAACAATGCCATTTTTACCACCCATGACTGGGAATGGTTCTAAAACCACCTGTAAAGTTAATACCCATATATATAATTATATAATGATATCCCATATCCTATATTGATATATATATATATATATGAGCGATTGTGAAAACCCTAGGTTCACGGAAAGGACATCCACAAATTTGGGAAGGTCCCATCGCTTACCACACGTTTGTACAATAATGATATATGGTAAACTTGGGGGGTATCGCTTGCAGGAAACTGCTGCATTTATATATATATATGTGATGAACTATGAATAATATGCGATATTTGGGTATCGCTAATGTGGATATTAAAGAAATATGATGACATAACCTTGAAAAGGGGTATCGCTAATTTGGGAAGGTCCCATCGCTTACCTCGTGTTTTTAACAATTTCCATCAATTTCCATAAACCAATGTCCGTCGAATACATATTTAGTATTGCCGGGGTTTTTACGGTTGCTCATATATTGATATAAACATTAAACTAGAATGATATGGTGGTTTACAACATTAAACATTAATATTGAGATAATGATATTCATATATGGGTGTTCATAACTTATATATATATATAAAACACATAAATAACTAAATATATATATATATATATTGAGATAATGATATCCATATATTGGAAACCACCATCTCCTTTTTGTCGCTTGCCAACTGGCACCTTCTCGCGACCGTCTCTTCCATCTCGACCATCGCGGCCCCTCCGGGACCTACTGCGACTCTCCTGGCGCTTCCACGTCTTTCCGGCGGGGCCACGGCCAGGGGAGAGCAGGAGGGAGTCACCACCAATTTTGGATGGTTGAAACATGTTGAAACCCTATAGATAATGGGATAAACCATCTATCAACTAGGGAATAATGATAGTTAATATAGTAATAATGGTAAATAAAAATGAATGATAGTAATGGTTGAAACCCCATCAATAATGGGATAAACATGGGATAAACCATCTACTGTATCTTAACTGGTGGATTTCGCAACCATCCACAGTATGAAGATGACGGATGATGAATGATGATAAGAGATGATGAATGATGAATGAGGCTGTTGATGCACAAAAATGTAGAATGAGTGATAATGAAGTTACTAGCATCATCATCATCATCATCATCACCATCATCACCATCATCACCATCATCACATTTTTTCATATTTTTCCATATTATTATATGTCATTATATGTCATTATATGTCATGATATCAGACGTGCATCTGTATATATATATATATCAATGCCGTCTATTCAGATGACTAGGACGACCCGATGAGGAACTTTTACACACAGAAGTCACTGGCCATCTCAGGAACCTAAATTGGAGGTACCTACCATATATAAGGCCTATGTAAGGGCTATGTAAGGGAATATCCCCAGGAAATATGGCCTTATATGGTACAGTACCTCCATTTTAGGATCCTGAAATTCCCATTGAAGAAGCCTTTGCACACAAACGCTTTTACATACAGAAGTTTTTACACAGAGAAGTCTTTACACAGAGGAGCTTTTACACAGAGAATGATGATGTTTGCCCAAAATAGGGCCTAAAATCCAGTTTAGGTACCATCTGGTTATTTAACATAGCCATGGAAAATCACCATTTTTAATAGGTAAACCATCTATTTCTATGGGCCATCTATACCATGGCTATGTTAGTCATAACCAGAGGGTGCCTGACATGGCCATTGAATTGGCGATTCGAAAACCCACAGCTCTCCACAGATCTCAGTCCACGCCTTCCGTGACTTCCGTGGAGGGGAACGTCGACGAGAGTCTGACCTGCCAAGTCGCTTCAACCACGTCCAGTTTTCTGAAGAAACGGCAAGAAAATCCTGGAAAACAGATTTACAAATTGTGGGTTTAATTAGTTTAATTGATGTGCTTTCTGGATTTTGTGATAGGTGATCGTGTATTTCTAGAATCACCATCAAATAGGATAAATAGGATATCACGATATCAGCATCATCAGCCTGTAAAGGTTGACCTATGCAGGTGAACTAGCTCATCCATCACAAAGCCGCGAACTGCGGTCCGAAATTTCTGGATTGGTTAAAGGGAACAACTTCACCGGAAACCATGGTTTTTACTATCAAATCAATCAAATCTAAGGGTTTCCGGTTAAAAATGTTCCCATCCAATTCTATGATACTAAGCCCAAAAAGGATAGAACAGACATGATCCAGAAAAGTAGCAATGATTTTCATGGGCATTTTTTCAGGGGGGTTATCGGTACACCCCGGTGGTCAAAGATGGCACTGGAAAATCGCCTATGTAAGGCCCATAGATGATTTTGCCAGCTATAAACCTCCAGAAATTCCACTTCTGGGTAGTCGGTTTATTGGGCACCCCAATGAAATTAGATGGTATTTATTTATACTAAACATATCTAAACAAAAAGATCTGTGGCCCCCTAGGGCTTAAATACTCATCCCCATCTGTTCTGGGGGTTATCAAAAACCGCCAAAATCATTGCCGCAATTGCCAATCTTCGATACCCTGCAAAATATTAAAATCTTAGCTGGTTAGGAGATGTTAGGAGATATTCCTAATGTGGGTAAAACAATGTCATAAACCATCCCCCAGTCATCACCATTTTTATAGGTGGTATAAACCATGCATTCCGAAATGGGTGGTTTATGACATTGTTTTAACCACATTATACCAACAGATTAAAGGACGAAATGACGAGTTCAGGTCCACTCGAACAGCTATTGCTGTTAGGATAGGGAAAAAAATGAAAAAAATGGCCACAGCTGGTGCCACGATGAAAGGATTGAACTACCTATCCAGTTGGTTGACTTAGAACTCCCATCATTCGGCACCGCGGCACCTCGAGGGCGAGCGTCTTCGCGGCATCAAATTCGGCGCTGGCGCCGCCCCGCGGCCGAGTGCCCGTTGAACGCCGCGCGAGGCCGGCCCCGTTTTGAGCTGCGGTGGTCAAACGTGGTCAAACGTGGAGTGGACACGTCTGGGAAAAGTGACGGGAATCCACCGGTTTTCCCATGGAAATACAGATGCCATAGGATTTTCCACGATCAACATGGGGTGGTTCCTGTGAAATTGCCTCATCCCAGTTGCAAAATTGAGTGGTGGATAGTGGTGGCATGGCCCACATCCCCCAGCTATAAAATTACAGTAACTATTGAGGATATCCTCTTCATAGACCACCAGGCTGTTTTGGGCGACTGTTCAACGGATTTGTCGAGGCCTCGATAGACAAAAGGGGGATCAGTCGCTAGGACCGCTAGGATCCATACGTCCGAAAGACCCTCCGGTAGTGAAACCAAGCTACGGACATGGCCAAAAAAAAAATCAGCATAAACCAAAATGTGGATTACTATGGTTTTTCAGCAGAAAATATGATTAGTTACCCAAATAAATGGTGGATTACCTATGAAAAATGATGATTTCGCATAGAAACTCGCAAAGTCACCAGAGGGTATGGAAAAAATGATGAGGTGGTCCACAAAAAAAAAATCTGCATGTTCAATGCGTCACCGTGACTGTCATCAAAATAGCAGGGGTCTGATGGAGGTGAATCCCTTAAATGTGGTAATTCAGGATGAGATATACCATCTGGTAACCTTATTTACCTTATGAAACAGGCTGGTGAAATCTTGGAATTTAGCCTCTGGTAAACGTTTGCAGTTTGCTATTGCATCCATGGCCATAGAAAGTTAGTTCGTTGATTTTCCCAGCAAAATAGCATGGTGATTTAACCCATGGTTTTTTGTAGGTTTGCTTCAAAGGGTAAATCATAACAGGGGATGAACATAGCTGGGGCTTATGGATGTTCATCCCCCAATGGCTATTTTGACTCATATTGGGTGAGACATAATCCTATTGTGACCAAAAAAACACTATGAGCTGGGTAATAGTGGGTAATAATAGGATCATTTTTGTAACAATAGGATTAGGATGATTTCCAGCTGGGTAAAAAATCATCCGTTTGCATATCTCATTTTAGCTGGGTAATTGGGGCAATAGACCTGGTCCAGTCCTGCGCCCTCTGCTTCTGAACCAGGGCCACTCCCATGGTGTCGACCAAAGTATCGACGCCTCAGGTCGCACCACATCGGCCGCATCGCGTGCGAGAAGAAAAAAGGTCGGAACCGGCAAAAAGGGATGGATACTTACCAGGTTTACCCAGTTCACTAGACATTGGTATAACATGGTATAATATGATATTATATATATATGGTATAATATGGTATCTGGTTGGTGGTTGTTCGCCACCCCTCCGACAAATGATGGTGTTCGTCACTTGGAGTTATGAAATTCCCAACTGAATGGAAAGTCATAACATTCCATGGTTCCAGTCACCACCATCCAGATATGGATTTCCAGAAACAGCTTCAGGACTCGCACTTGTAGGGCTGACTTTGGGCATCTGAAAGAAGAGAATCTAGGAGGGAGGTCTGCATTTCTGGAGTTTCAAGCGTTGATCCAACGTCATTTCATCGCTCAGCAGGTTTTGGCATCAACACACCACACTATGGGAAAACTCACTATAATAAATTGCTATTTTCAATAGCTATGTTAAATTACCAGAGGGTAGATTGCGGAGAACAAACTCTTCAGAGTCAGACTAAGGATTGGAAAGAGTCAGTGAATGCACCGCATGAAGCGCATGAATCACCTGAAAAAATCACAAGTCTCTCTTCTTCAAACTCATCCACCCACCAAGAAAAAACACACATGACCTAATATTCAATTCTCCATGACAATTTTCAAAATATTAATGCACACATTTTAGTTGGTTAAATCACCAGCTGCCCACTGGCAAATGAACATAAGTATGAAAAAAACACATTTTTTGTGAATCCTCTAGACATGGTGCATTTGTATTCATTTATGTGCATTTAGTTCGCAAACTGTTGCTTTACCAGAGGGTATATCTCATCATTTCCCACTGTAATTAATCCCATTATTATCCCTGTAAGTACCATTACAAACCCATTAAAAGATCCATTAATCCCGTTAAAATCACTATAAACAACTGTTACTATAAACGAACCATTTCCCAATAAAAACAAAACCATTCTACTCATATCTTCATTATGATTATCCCTGTAGGTACCATTAAAAACCCATTAATAAACCCATTAAAGTGCATAACTTCCATTATTAACCCATTAAAAACCAATGATATATTACCCATTAAAAACAATTACCCTCTGGTTATTTAACATAGCCATGGAAAATCACCATTTTTAATAGGTAAATCATCAAAAAACATCTATAAATGGGCCATCTATACCATGGCTACGTTAAATAACCAGAGGGTACCCATTAAGAACCATTAACCCCTTAAAAACACATATCTTCGGGTTGCAAATCAGGTCCGTGGGGCTCCAAACGTTTCTGATTCTCCCGGATCTTGTGAAGCATCCCTCCGGGCCTTGGTCGGCAGAATCGATGCTTCTTAAATGATGCTCCGGAAACTCTATATGAATATATTCATGCATATGATCATATATGATTATATATATAGTATATGAATAAATGATTAATCATATTATATATATATTATATATAAATATATGATTAATCAAATTATTATATATATAGTATATAAATATATGATTAATTACTAGGATTACTAGGATGATTATCATATATAATTACAATATAATCCCTATTGTGAAGGTGCCCAAAGCCATCCCTTCACTTCAAGGCCCATTCACAGCCGAATTGCGTGACCGTCGCCTCTGAGGCCATGGCAATTCGGCTTCCGGAGGCTTTGCCCTGGGCTACCGATGGAGTTACCGTAACTAATAGAGGTAATCATAGAGATATGGCAATCCATACTATGTGCTTATATAACTTATATAGTTGCATAGTGTATCTTTAACTATGTATGGATATACTGAAAACCATAGAATATGGAATCTGTACATATTAATTCCATAACTAATAATGATGTAATACTATGTAACTATCATAACTAATGGTAACTATACGCGCAAACACCCCGATTCGCCCACACCCCTTCTATGCTGTACACTTGCGGATATCAAACGTTCGACTTTACATTCAATTGGGAAGATCAACAAGGGTATTTAGGGAAATAAATTTCCCACTCCCGTTAAGCTTCTAGATTCATTGACGACCTTCAATAAGGGTTTAATTCCCCCACCACCGTTAAACTTCTACATTCATTGAAGATCTTCAATAAGGGTTTAATTCTCCCACCTCCGTTAAACTTCTACATTCATTGAAGATCTTCAAAAGGGTTGAATTCTCCCACCCCCGTTAAACTTCCACATTCATTGAATATCTTCAATGAGGGTTTAATTCTCCCACCTCCGTTAAACTTCTACATTCATTGAAGATCTTCAATAAGGGTTTAATTCTCCCACCCCGTTAAACTTCTACATTCATTGAAGATCTTCAATAAGGGTTTAATTCCCCCACCTCCGTTAAACTTCTACGTTCATTGAAGATCTTCAATAAGGGTTTGATGATGATGATGATGATGATGATGTGTAAGAGACTCGCACAGGTCCCTATGCTGTGCGTGCCAACAACATGAAGTTAGCCATGATGCCAAAAAACTCACATTTTTTCACGTTTTCAGCACATACGAAGATGGCCGCCGACAAGCGCGGGCAAATCGAGGTGTTTGCCCGTAACTATAGTATGGTAATAGCTAATAGATAAATACAATGGATAAGATATAGATAACTAATAGAATATGGTAATCATAGAGGTATGGTACCAGAATTATATAGTTAAATATGGGATCTTTAACTATGTATGGATATACTTATATAACTATAGAATATGGAATCTGTACAGTATCTCTAGTTAAATAGATAGTGGTAATCATAGAGATATGGTACACCTATAGTATGGCATTTATTCTATGTATTATGCATGGTTTACTCATATTATCTGCTTAATACTATGTAATGTAATCATAGATACATAGTATAATACCATAGTTATATAGTTACAGATACCATATCTATGGTATATACTATAAATGTTTAAGTACAGCAACTAAATGTATGTTTTCTACAGTTCTATTGATTTATGGTGTATAACTCTATGGTTTAGTTGGGATAGCATGTGTAATAATACCACTATAAGTCAACACTCAACATAACACTGCTTTCTGTTTACCCTCTGGTAAACATACAAAAAACTGTGGAAAATCACCATTTCAATGGGTAAATCCACTATAAATGGCCATTTTCAATAGCCATGTTAGTCATTACCAGAGTGTACCAGTTGGGAAGAAGTGGAAGAAGTGGGACTCCAGCAGAACACTGGAACCATGTCGGGATGATCATGACATCAATGACATCGCAACTGGTGCAGGATTTCGGAACCTGCAGAAATAGGATACTCCAAGTGTAATAATATCTTGCAATATACACAATAATATGGTAACAATCTCCAATTTTTATTCAAATTTCCTACTACGAAAATGACAATAGGTGGTTTATGGCAGTAGGCTTTACCACGTTACTTAGAACTGCAGGGCCGAAAGTCCCCAAGTTGATTTCGCACGTCGATTTCAAACTTTCCCAAGTTCCCAACATCCTGGATTCAGCACTGGGAACATCATAAATACAATGGGAAATTCAGGATCCTAAAATGGAGGTACTGTACCATATAAGGCCATATTTTGGGGGTAGATCCTCTTACATAGGCCTGACCTTATATATTGTAGGTACCTCCATTTTAGGATCCTGAAATTCCCATTGATTAAATACAGAAATCAATCATCAAAATCCAGAAATCCGGAAACATCTGGAAGAAATTCTGGATTTCTCATATCAAGTATTTATCATGGGAGTAAACAAATTTATCCTTCGGTGGCCTTGGAAACATAGATACCACCGACTTGATGTACTGCCTCGAGTTGAATGTCTTTAAGAGCTACTGGGGGCCAATAACTAATAGCCCACCAAGTTAAACAAACCTTTCAAGACCTTGTTGATAGACATTACCCTCTGGTAAACGTTTTCAAAAAAACAACTGGAAAATCAGAAAGATCCACCATATCACCATTTTTCAATGGCTAAATCAACGAACTTTCGACTGGACCATTTTGATACTATATGATACTATAGTTTTCTTGTTTATGATTTATATATAAATTTACATATACTATGATTATTATATACTATAACTCATATATAGAACATATAAAAAATCAAACTCCAATCGCCTTGACCTCCTCCCCTCCTCCCATGACGCTCGGATGCTCCAGGTGCCCCGACGCAATTCGCTTCCACTCTGAGGCCAATCGCTGGTCTGCCTGGGTGTCCAAGCCCCGTGTCGTTGAAGCGATTGGACTATGTAAGTTGGTGACAATAACTCCAATTGGACTATATGATTTATGAGTGTTTATGATACTATAGTTATATAACAAAAACTATGGTTATATATATATATACCTCAATCTTCCTCATGTGTCGTTTTTCTGCCCCTCTGCTTTTTGACTCTGATTTCAGCCCCTCTGGGCAGTTTCAGCCCCTTAGAAATATTTCTGCCCCTTTGGTTTCCTGGAAGTTGCCAATCAAGAAAGATTTGCACACCAACACTCTGGTTCAGAAAAATCAATGATTTTACTTCATTTGTTTTGAAATCAGGCTACTCATGACTTTTGAGCTGCCCACGTATTTTTTTGTGCTTTTGATTTTTTGTGGGGTAAATCAGGCTACTCATGACTTTTGAGTTGCTCATGTTTTTTTTTTGGTTACTCATGACTCTTAGGCTGCCCATGATTTCTTGTAATTAGTTAGTTATCATTTGTTTAAAATAAGGCTACTCATGACTTTTGGGTTGTTCATGCTTTTATCTTTCATTTGTTGCTCATGACTTTTTAGTGTGTTTTTCTTAATAAAGGTTACTCATGATTTTTGAGCTGCTCATGTGTTTATTTGTTACTCATGATTTATTAGCTGCTCATGACTGCGTCGGGTTACTAATTGTTTTTTTGTTTAATAGGCTACTCGTGACTTTTGTGTTTCTTATGACTTTTGTTTTCGTTGCTCATGATTTTTTCTTATCTTTTGAAAGGCTACTTATGACTTTTGAGCTGCTCATGTTTTCTTCTCGGTTACTCATG